TATATATATATATATATATATATATATATATATATATATATATATATTAGGGAGCTAAGAGAAGACCATCTATGATAAGTCTGTGAAGCTGCCTGCACCATACCAAACCCTATGGACTTTCCATTCCCACCACCTCTTTCTCTTTCATAAGATCCAACTTCCAGGGCAAAACTAAAGAAATCCTAAGTTCCCAGTTATTTATTTACAGACCACCTGCATTATAAGAAATGACCAACTATAACAAAAATAATTGTATTTATTTGTAAAAAAGTGAGATGCTGTTTCTGTGGACACAGTTCTCCTGGAAACTGCCAAACTGCTGGTATTTTAAATCTAGCTCACTGAGTGTAGTCAGAGTCCAATTGGAGCCTTAGTTGAGATTGTGCACAGGCTTTAACAATCCAGGTTCTGTTCCTTAGACTGTAAGTGTGTGGTGAACTGGCTCTTCAGCTAATCTGAGATCCTGTAAATTTGTCAGTGAAACAAACAAATTGCAGGCTGAGGATTTAAGTCCCAATTTTCCTGAGGAGAGCTCCCCTCTCAAGCAGGCTATTATTTGTTCTCTATACTTGCATTTGCTAACGTTTTGATAATCAGTTATTATCTAATGTCTGTGTATGTGGAGCTATGTGCTAGCATTTTTGTATCAGATTTAGACAATTCTAAGTTACACATATATCTTTGAACAGTGCAAGGGAAAACTGAGAAATTGAAGAAATATGAATGTGAAAAAAGTGAAACTTTGAAATATTTTATATATTTCCTGCCTCCACCTCATGCAATTGAGAAACATAGCTTTGTGTTAAAGGCTCCTGCAATTACTTTTAAAATAAAAGACTGCAGGAAGGAACCAACTTGTAAATATAAAATCAGGAATTAGTTTGTGCCAAGCATCCAGCTATGCACAAAATAAAAAATTTAAGTATGTAACTTAACTTTGTTCTACAATTAGTTTAATTCAGGAGGTTTTTATAGCAGCAAATAGGGCCCAATTTCCACATTGCACTGGTATAAATCACCAATCTCTGTACATATGCAAGTCTTTTTTAGCAGACACGGGAATCTTAGGCCTTATAGCCATAACTTTGATGCTCTTTTCCACATCACTTTCTGTCTGAATTGGAGCATGTTAGAATGAAATGTGACTCTTGCAGTAGGTAACTGTGGAACTAGTTTTGTGCCAAAGTTTTCATAAACGTGACTCAGGATTCAAAGCTGCAAAGGCTTCCCAGGAGAAAAGTTTCTGTATTTTCCTTAGTTGTCTGTGCTGACTCCTCTGTTTTTAGAACCACTGGGGAAACGGGGTGGGGGAAATATTCTTCCTTGTGTGACTCTGGTCTGAAAGTGTTGGTTGTAACCCTAGGGAGCCCGTAAATGCTATGGGATAAGATCGGGCAAGTGTTGATGGATTCAGTTGAAGTTACTAAAATAAGCCAGGAGAGAGGCTATGAGAAGCCTGTTTAGTTCCCTGCTCTCTTGGAAGAACGTCTGGTGGCTTAGGGGCAAAGAGGATGGAAGTAAATTTCTTGGACTATGTTTCAGTTATGTGAGATGGAGAACAAATTCGGAGAATTATGGTTCTCATGTAAGTGAGACTGACTGACAGCTCTGGCTTCAGGGCACAGGGCCTGTTGGTGCATCTTCCCACTGCCAGCCCTATAGGCCAGTAGCTCTCAACCTTTCCAGACTCCTGTACCCCTTTCAGGAGTCTGATTTAGCTGGTGAACCCCCAAGTTCCACCTCACTTAAAAACTACTTGCTTACAAAATCAGACATAAAAATACAAGTGTCACAGCACACTATTACTATACAATTGCTTACCTTCTCATTTTTACCATATGATTATAAAAAATCCATTGGAATATAAATATTGTACTTACATTTCAGTGTATAGTATATAGAACAGTATAAACACATCATTGTCTGTATGAAATTTTAGTTTGTACTGACTTCACTAGTGCTTTTTATGTAGCCTGTTGTAAAACTAAGCAAATAGCTAGATGTGTTGCTGTGCCCTGGAAGACCTCTGCGTACCCACATGGGTATGCGTACCCCTGGCTGATTGCCACCACTATCGGGCATTACACCTCAGAGTTGCATTCCAGCCATGCCCCTTCTGTTTGATTCCTCCACCTCAGAGCAGACACCATCCACTCTGTGGGGCTGAGATATGGACCATTGCCCTTTGTTCTATGTTACCCTGAGTAAAACTGTCAGCAGCCCAGGACAGGCAGCTGGCCATGATGCTCTATTAAAAATAACAGAATAGACACAGGCTCTCCGGGCAACAGACTGAGACCCCCAAAGTCTGCTCATCTGTTGCTGAGACTGAATTTTAACCTACAGTCCCTTTGGTGTTATTGTCCAACTACCACCTAGAGCCTGGGTGCCCTCGTCAGTCACTTGTGATGACAGATTTCTCAAAGACTGTTGTTCACTCTTTGAATTCTGTAGGAATTTTCTTTTCTTCGCTCTTGGTTCCACTTAGAGCCATGCAGATTATTTCAAATGACAGTAATTTGAGCTGGCAGCGTTTTACTGGCTCCAGTCTAGTCTGTTACTCAGGCCAGTACACGGTTATTCCCTACAGTATATTTCTGGGGTGCTTTGTCCAGTCTAGTTTTAAGTGCCTCAGGGGGCTGGGCTTCCACCAGTGGATGTAGCTGGCTGCCAGTCCTACTATCGTAGTATTCAGGCAGCTGCTGGTCCTGCCTTGCCTCTGTCCTTTAAAGCGTATGGTCTCTATTACACTTCCTGCAGTGCAGTTGAAAATGGTTTTGTCCATTCAGCACTAGCAGCCAAAGTGTTTTCAGCAGCAATTTGATAGAGGCTTTGGAGAACAAGCATTCGCAGCCGGTACTCGTTTTCCTGCTGTGAAAAGGCCCAGGAAATGCTTGTAAGAAATAATAATAAAACACTAGCCAGGCCTGTGCTGTCTGGTCTGTATTGTCTGAAAGACTATTTAGTTTATGGCAACGGGCAGGTGCTTGTTCCTTTGGCAGATATCTTATGGACATGCCCTT